ATATATATATATGTCTTTGAATATAAAAGATAAGTTTATATTCTATGTTTATATTTATATTCGAGGATTATATAATCCTCGAATATAAATATAAACATAGAATATAAACTTATCTTTTATATTATTAGACATATATACATATGCTTTATAAATATAACATACATATGTACGTTACATAGTCTTATCTTTAAAATTATAATTTTTTTTCAAAAACTTCTTTGCTGTCTTGTTATTAAAAAAAAGTCGATTATTTAGAAAAGTGCGTAAAATTAATAAAGTCCGCAGTTCTTTTGTGATTCAACTTACCCCGAGCAATTTGATGCAACTTACCCCGTAGGCATCATGATCACTCTAATCAATGCATACAATTAGCCATATTAAAAAAATCTATTTTTTTTTACTTTTTGTGTTTGAAAAAGATTTTTTTAACTTACTATTATTTTATTATTGTCATATACTTCTTAGTTTTTTGTAAAACCCAAAAAAACATTGAAACGAAAATTAGAAATTTATATAGAAAAAAAACAATTATCAATAACTTTTAAATTTTTAAGTTTATTACTATAAGTTTTTTATAACTTGCGTGTCATAATTATAGTTATATAATGTAAAAAAATTGAAAAACAATATGTAAAAATTATTCTTTAAAACGCATTGTTGCATCTTACCCCTGTTGCAACCAACCCCGGTCTCCCCTATATTTCACTAAACTATATATAACATTACTCCAGAAAAATATACAGAATTAGTACATAAGAACAAAGTATATGTTTTCAATATATTATAACTTTAACAATACAGTATTTTTCTCGAAAAAATAAAATAAGAAAAATTAAAATCAGAATTTTAAAAAAACATAGATATATCATCAATTGAAAATATAATATTTTTTAGTTTTTGTTTAAAGGAGGGATAACTACATTTCTCAAAAATATAAAAATTTTTTGAAATTATTTTTTTCCACAGAAAAGCTCCACGAAAAGATATGCAAAACTTTCAAAAATTTCTATGGTAAGGAGGTTGTCAAATATCTTTATCATTTCTTAAGATATATTTGTTCTTTTCTTTCAAAGTAAATAAATTTTGAAAGGGTTCAGGAGATAAAGTGTTTTTACATTTATACATAAAACAAACAACATTGAAAATATTCAGCTCGTATATACTAAAAACATTCATGTCAATTAGGAGAGGCTTGGCATGAGGAAAACGATCCCTAAAATTAATAAGGCGTGCAACATGTTTTTGTTGAAGATATAGAGTTTAAAGTTTACTTTTATTTGTACTACCCAACGCAACATTTGCATAGTTTAGGTGGAAAAGGATAAAAGAATAATATATTTGAGTTAAGGTGTGCTTGTTTAGGATATTTCTTGTTTTATATAGTATTCCAACACTTTTGGATATTTTATTGCCCAAATTTTCTATGTGCTTTTTCCATGAGAGATTTTCATCAATATAAACGCCTAGAAATTTGATAAAGCTTACTTTTTTATTAGAGTATTGTCAATAAAAAAAAAGGCATGTAATTTGGTAGTAAGTGTTTTTTAAAATGAGGGTGGAAAAAAATTCATATGGTTTTATTAAGAGATCAGAGAACCAATCAGAGATTTTAATTAGCTCATTGTTTATGTTTTCAAATAGATAATTTATGTTGTTGTGAGATAAAAACAGATTAGTATCATCTGCGAATATAATGGTCGTTGAGGCTTTATAAAGATCATTGATGTAAATAAGAAATAGTAAGGGTCCTAATATTGATCCCTGGGGTACTCCACATGTTATATCAAGCAAATTTCTATGCCGATTTAAATTAACATAGACATATTGTTTGCGATTACTTAGATAGTTTGTAATCCATATTAGAACTTTACCAGTTATTCCATAATATTGTAACTTTTTTATAAGAATTTCATGATCTATGGTATCAAATGCCTTTGCTAAATCAATGAAAACTCCAAAAGTATATTGGGAATTTTCAAATGATTCAGTTATATTTCTTGAAAATTGGATGATTGCATGTTCCGTATAATTATTATTTTTAAAACCATATTGGTTGTTATGTATGAGATTATTATTTAATAAGTAATTATATATTCTATTATAAAATATTATTTCTAAAACTTTTGAGAAAATGGAAAAAATGGATATAGGACGGTAATTGCTTATATTAGTTAAATTTCCTCCTTTAAATATTGGTATAACCTTTGCTATTTTTAATTGATTAGGAAAAATTCCTTGATGGAACATGAAAATATTCTAAAAAGAAAATTTTTTAAGACATCATATGAATTAATAACAATGTTTCCATTGATATTGTCACGGCTTTGTTAGGTTTGAGCATTTTGAAAGCGCTAACCCACGAAAATATGGGCAAGAAATTCATCAAAAGTTAGCTCAAAAGAATTGAGATGTGATGTCAGGAGGAAAGAAAGATATTTTTCAAAAGTATTAGTTGGTTGAATTTTTTTGGCTAGCTTTTCGCCAACAGATACAAAATATTTATTTAGTTCAGCAGCTATCTTATCTTGATTAATTAGGAACTCTTCCTTTATTTCAATAGTTTTGGGCAAAGATATCTTTGTTTTGTTACTGCCTGTAATTTCTCGAATGATTTCCCAAGCGTTTAGAATTTAGTTTATATTTTTCTGGCAAATTAGTATAGTATTTATATTTAAGATTTTTTCTTTGTCGCTCAAAGATTTTGAAATAATTTTTATAAATAGTTTTATTTTCTACTGATTTTGATTTTAAATATTTGATATAGAGTTTTTGTTTAATTTTCGAAGATTTTCTTAGTTCCTTGGTAACCCATGGTAATTTGTTGCTTTTTGGTTTGAGATAAACTTTTATGTCTGAATAAGACGTCCTTAAGTCTTTTATATGAGACCAGCCAGAGACGTTTCTAGAACATCTGCAAAAAATGTCTCTAGAACGTCTTAAAAAGACATCTTTAAGACGTCTGGAATAGACGTACTCAAGTCTTTCATTTGAGACCAACTAAGGATTTCTTACGGACGAGACTTGAGATGTCTTATGGACGTCCTTAGGACGTCAAAATGCCCGCTGGAAAGATTAGCATTATCCTGACAAATTTAAAGTTTATAAACGAAAAATTGTATAAAGCTTTAATTGTTATGACGTTCTCTTAATTTATTGATTAAAAATCACAAAATAAAGTATTATCTTCAAGGTTTATGGTTGTTACTAAGTATTTTTTAATTGCACTCGAATTATTTTTACAACCCTTTGATTTTATTACTGATTAGGTAAGGAAAACTTCAATGTTCCAATAAAGGAAACTTTCGACTATTCAGTTATATCACTACAATAACATGCTTGCAGCGACTTATTAGATAAGTTTACATTGTTATTTTCCATTTTAAATCCCATCGAATTAAATAAAAAAAACGGTATAACCTATAGCACCAAAGTTTACCCAGCGCAATCAATAGAGTGTGAACACAAAATTAGATCACTGATGCAAAAAAATGACGCAAAAAAACTTTAAATCAATGGAACAAACGCATTTTTTGAGGAATAACTTTCAAAATGTGTCAAAACGTAGAAAGTAATACGTTTTACTAAAAAAATGCAAAATATAGCCATAATTCATTTTTTTTTTCAAAAATAAATGCAAGTGTTCCAATTAAGGCACTGTTCCGATTTCTGCAACTCTTCCCACTTCAAAATAAATTGATTGTAAACTTTGTTTAAGTTATAACCATTATAAACTTTCTTTTAGTTTAAAACTATTCGTTTTTCTGTCATTATTTATATTGTGTTATCCTTTACAGTGACTGCATCAATTATACATTTTTTTCTTCAAGAGTTTTAGAAAAACTCAGTTCGTAATTAATACAGTTCGTAAAAAATAAAGAAGCAATAAAATTAAAGAAAAGTATTTGTTTTTGATCAGATCAAGTCTTTTTGATCTTGTTATTTTATAAAAAGTTTGTTTAATGAATGATTTTCATAAAATTCAGATATTAAACTTAGCCCTCTAAAACCGCTTGGTTTTGAATAGAGAGGTTGGCTTGCGCTAGACATACTTACGACATCGGATAGGAAGGAGACGTGAATGTTCCTGCTACTACGCGGTGCTATTTGACCGTAAAGAGTTTTTAGAAAACCTAAATAACAAGCGGAAAAAAAAAAGCGTTTAATCAATTTTAACAGCTTTAATGCTATCGCCACAAGCTTTCTACCAGTTTCTTTATCACAAAACATTTTAGAAACTTTCAGGTAGCGGTAAATAAGCGGTTGCGGTTGTAAACATTATTTTTTTACTTTAAACACGGTGTTTAGTTAAAATAAACATTTTTATAAAATAAAAATTTAGTTAAAAATAAACATTTTTTTTAACTTGAAAATATGATTTAAGACCCTAAAATCTCTTGTAAACCCAATTTTTTAACTGGAACACTATAATAATTAATAATGTTCTATAGTAGCTTCTGATACATTCCCATCTTGTTTTTTAACTGAATGGTCAACTTGGAATTGTAAGTAATCGGTTTGAATGTTTTATAGACTGTATGTTTGCCATAAATTTATGTTTTCGTTGACATAAGCAAATATTTTTTTGCCGCTTTTTTTTGTCTGTTGTATGCTCGTATACGTTGTAAACAAATAAAATAGCGCTATTAATAAAAAGTTTAAATAAAACTTAGCAAAAAAAAATTGGGTTTACAAGAGATTTTAGGGTCTTAAATCATATTTTCAAGTTAAAAAAAATGTTTATTTTTAACTAAATTTTTATTTTATAAAAATGTTTATTTTAACTAAACGGTGTTTAGTTAAAATAAACATTTTTATAAAATAAAAATTTAGTTAAAAATAAACATTTTTTTTAACTTGAAAATATGATTTAAGACCCTAAAATCTCTTGTAAACCCAATTTTTTTTTGCTAAGTTTTATTTAAACTTTTTATTAATAGCGCTATTTTATTTGTTTACAACGTATACGAGCATACAACAGACAAAAAAAAGCGGCAAAAAAATATTTGCTTATGTCAACGAAAACATAAATTTATGGCAAACATACAGTCTATAAAACATTCAAACCGATTACTTACAATTCCAAGTTGACCATTCAGTTAAAAAACAAGATGGGAATGTATCAGAAGCTACTATAGAACATTATTAATTATTATAGTGTTCCACGTAACTATGTTGCGTTGTAGCTATCATTACTAACTAACAAAAACCATTTTCCCATTTATTAAAAGCTTAATTATGCAATAATTTAAAAAGACTTTATAACAATTTTATTCTCTTCAATAGGTTAAAATTTAGTTGTGTCAATATTATTGTTAAATTGTAGATTTAATTTTGATCTAACGTAGTATTTTAGTTAACGTAGTATTAGCATATAAGTACCAACTTATTCACCAGCAATGGCATTGTGCATATGTTACCAGATTGGCTTTAAAACTTTAACTAGGAAATGCTGTTGTTCGCTTAAAGGTCAAACTGGCTAGTAAACAAAGTTGAATTTTTACGTCAAAAAGTAATTAAATAGTATAGTTAATTTATTTAAATGATGTACTTTTGTTGACAGGTAAACGTTTTAAGTTCGATGTATAAAACTTTGGAATGAGTTTACTTGTAATGCAGTTACCGGTAACAACATAAAACAATGAATTTACAAATAACAAAATAAACCTAAGAGCAGAATTAACTTTTTCTCTTTGTTGTTCTAACTAATGCAAAAAAAGCTCTCTACAGGTTAAATAAAATACAGGTTGCTTAGGATAGATCCCAAGCAACCAGTATTAGATTAATCTGTAAAGAATATTATTAACAACTTGCTGTTGATATTGAATTGTATTGTTGTACAGTTGTCGTTCTTCATTAAGTTTGTTTTTAAGATTAGCAACTTTGTTTATCAAACCTTCAATTTCAATTAAAAGTGTGTCGTTGAATATTTTATCCTCCGATACTATTAAAGTTTTCGTTGAAGTATAACTAACTAATAAAACAAAAAAACTTGATAGAAGCACAATATACAATATTTTCCATTTTACTTTCATTTTTCTAAATTCCAGAACCAAAATCAAATTCAAATTAAGAATTACTTTTAATAAAAGTTTCACTACAACATTGACTATCGCATATATACTTAAACAAAAAAAAAAATCTAAAAAATTCAAATCTCACATTGTTTGAGAATAACTTAACAATTGTTTTTTAAAAGCAGTAGCTTAATACATTTCTCGAGCTATTGAAAAGATAATAAATTTTTTAACAAAACGAATTATAATTTAAACAAATTATTGTATGAGTCATGATATTAAAACTAATTACATTTATCAGATTATATTTTTGTAAGATTAAAAATTAGAATTTTAAAAAAGACTGAGAGAAACAATAAAAAAAGTATAATATTAGGATATTTTTTGTGGAGTTTTTTCTTCAAAACTTGAACAAAACTACTAACACTGTAAAAGTCAACTTTTTATGGTGCTTGTTTGTTTGCTTTGGAATACTAATTGGTAAAATCTCTTCAAATAAGTACATGATTCACTAGTCACTTTTATTATATTATTATGTAATTAGATTATTTAGCTAAATAATCTAAATATATAATAGTATAATAAAAGTTAATTCAACGATGACGTAAATCATAAATATAAATCTCCGCATAAGAAGTAGGTACCAGTGACGTGGCAAATTCCGTGGTAGGTACTTCAGTGACGTGACAAATTCCGTAGACAAAATTTATGCAGTTTCTTTTTTTTTTTTTAATTTTACATTTGTTGGTCGTATTACAACTATATATTGTCAAAAAAAAAAAATAATGATAATAATAATAAACTTTCACAAATATAAAATAAGGTATCTGAAAGAAGATCAAAGGATCTTGTCGTCAGAACCTTAAATAAGTTCAAACAAGCATTAACAGTATCAAATTTTTACAAATTTCATATATATATAATCCAAATATATATTATATAATCCAAAGAGAGATCACGCGGATCTACTCACCAATATTTTATATAAACGTATACGTTAAGTAAAGATATAAAATCAACAAAATATGTAAGAATAAACTTTTTACAAATGTAAATAAGAAAAGACAAAGTTATTAATTCCTATTATTAATAATAACATAATACGTCATCTAATGAAAAAATGAGGGTTTTTAATTTACTTTTAAAAAAACGATAAGAAATGGGTAGTTCGAAGTCAAAATTGGGCAAAACAATTTTATACCAAAGGTGTGGAGCCCGATAGGCAATACAAAATTGATTAAAGTTCGTTTGACCGAAAGGTTCATTTAAAAAATCAGTATTTCTCAAATTGTATTTGTTGATGGGTTTCGGAGTAAAAATATCTTTGAAAACAGATTGAGACAAGCAGTTTTTTATATATAAAGTATACTTTTTCAGAATAACATTAGACCGATTTTTTTAATTTTTAATGTCATCGTAAAGTTTTTTACAAAAATAAAATGATTATATTATATCTGCTTGATTTTTTAATAAATGTTTATTTGACTGTAGGAACACTTTTAATAAAGTTTCTGTCCGTCTTAATATTATTTAAAATTTCGACAAAAATTTTAATAATAACTTATTACTATATTATTAAATATATTGATATCAATATTTGTATAAAATTAGCTTCATTATAATGAATAATAAAGATTTATATGATTGGTATCTATGCTTGAATGATAAATGTTTAAAAACGGTGTGCACGAATTTTAGAAACCGTTTCTCAAATTTGTTTTCAGTAACCGAAAAAAATTTGAGTTGGTAGAACAAAATTAAATTCACCGTGGAAAGTTTTTTTTTTTTAATTTTTTTTAATTTTTTTTTTTTAACCATAGATATAAGAAATAGATAGTCTGGTCACTCGGGTCGTATTATGTGATTTTTCTAATATTCGTTAAAAACACTTGAAATTTGTCGAACGGTCGGGAACAGAGTGCTGTAGTAGAATATTAGATCATAGTCATAATATACATAGTCCGGCCAGTTTAAACGTGATTATTTTTTCCTTTCCTATCCCGTTCCCGTTGAAAAACGGATGAGTGGAAACTTGCCTTAAGAGCGCTATTGTTTATCTTATTGTTAGATTTTTTTTTAGAACCCAGTCTACCAATAAGTACACACTTTTTGTAAACAAATGCGCATTAAGAAGAATATTTTCAAGAAGATTATTGATTTAACCTTAATTTTTGCAAATGCCTTGTCTTAATTGTTACATATTTGATTCTGGAACTTCTCGAAGAAGTATAAATCTTTTTCTATTTGAAATATTTTCTTCCGATGATGATGTTTATAACAAAGAATCAAGAGAAAAGTTTTACAAGTTATAAATAAAAATATATCTTTAGTTATAATATATTATAACTAATGATAAAATATGATATCAGATAACTTTTTTGTTGGATCGACAGGTTTACTACCTTCAATAAATCAACCAGTTAAGAGCTTTTCATTGGCAAATCCTTCTTTAGGCAGAATATAGTAGTTTCTCATATTACTAAAGCTCAACTCAAAGAAATCAACTTTTTCTTCTGAAGAAGACAAAAGTCAATATTTAAATATTTACATTAAAAAAGATCAATGGTCAATACAGTTGTGTCTATCCTTATTTCATTATAAAAAAATATCAAAGCTATTTTGTGGCTATTTTACTAGCAACAAATCTTATAAAAACATTATTTGGTATATAATAAAAGATAAAAATCTTCAATGCAAGAATATCACAAGATTTAATGGTTTATGCAAAGCACAAATATATGTGTGTGTGTGTATATATATATATATATATATATATATATATATATATATATATATATATATATATATATATATATATATATATATATATATATATATATATATATATATATATATATATATACCGTAGCGTGGGGTAATTGAGCACCATTTTTGAAGCTTTTATTTAAATAAAATAAAAACTTTTAAAAATATTTAAAAAGTGAGATATGTTATTTTAGTACTATATTAGGTCTATCATTTAGGAAGGTTGAATTAAAAAAAAAAAATTCCGGCAAAGAGTTAATGACACAAAATATGCGGGTGCGCATTTACCCCACGATTTGGGGTAAACGAGCACCTTAATATCTTTTTCATAAACATATATATATATGTTTTATAAACATATATATATGTATATATATATATATGTATATATATGTATATATATGTATATATATGTATATGTATATATATGTATATCTTTTTTGTTTATTCAAGACACGGAAGTGAACGGACGTGTTTTTGCAGCGTGGCTGTTTTGAACTTTTTTAAAAAATAGACTGTTACAAATTGTTTAAAACATATATACATAAATTTATATGTTTATTCATTATTAAATAAAAACAAATATTGGTATTTAACTTGATAATAAAATGGATAAAAATAAAAATGATAAAAAAGAAATTCAAACAAATACAGAAGCTTCTGAAATATCTGTGAAATTAGTTCGTGAAATATTCTCTGAGATGTTTAAGAAACAGCAAAAGGACATTCTCAAACTTATTAGTGGTAATTTAAAAATTACAAATGAAAGAATTGATGGGCTGTTGAAAGAATTAACAGAAATCAAAGAAACGTGCAAAACTTTACAAAATGAAAATAATCTCAGAAAATTTGAAATGGTAAAAACAAATGACAGAGTCTCAAAAATTGAACACACTCAAAAAGATATTGAAAACAGCATAACTTTTACGCAAGATACCCAAGAGGAAAAAATCAATAAAATTGAAGAAAAAATTGTCTCAAAAGTAGCATTTAATGCAGAAGAAAAAAATAAGCTGCGTCAACTGGAAGATCGACTAAGAAGAAACAATCTGCGGCTTGAAGGAATAACTGAAAGCGAATCTGAAAGTTGGAATGAATCTGAAGAAAAAGTTTTAAGTATCTTTGAAAAACAACTAAATGTAAGTGGCGTAGTTATCGAAAGGGCGCATAGAACCGGAAAAATCGGGCAGAGTAAACCTAGATCAGTCGTGATAAAACTCCTGAACTATAAAGATAAAATTAACATATTAAAGAATTCAAAAAAGTTAAAAGGAACAGGAATATTTATAAATGAAGACTACTCTTTGGATACCCTAACCATACGTAAAAAACTCTTTGAAGAAATGCGAGCTCACAGGAATAACGGTAAATATTCTGTCGTTATTTATGATAAATTAGTAGTTAAAGATTTTAAAAAATCTCATAAAAATGCTTAAAGTTTATTTATTTTTTGTATATATTTTTTGTAATTTAAATAGTATTTTTATTTATTATTGCTAAAATGGCGGAAGCCAGCAATAATAATGTTTTTGACATATCAGGAAGGAAAAACACACTAAACCGAAGTAATGACGATGATAAAAATATTAACATTTTTGACGAAATTTTAGTAGAAACGGCTTATTACAATGTTGACGATGTTAATCATGTTCTTAATTCTTTATCATCCCATTTTTCATTATTACATTTAAACATCAGAAGCATAAATAAAAACTTTGATAATTTAAAATTTATGTTAAATAATATAAGTAACAAGTTTAGTATTATCTGTCTGACTGAAACTTGGTGTCATCGAGACACGATTAATTCTAACTTTCAATTATCAGGATATAAATCCATTCATCAACCTAGAGTAAACGGCATTGGTGGGGGCGTATCAATTTTCGTCCAAAACTCATTGACTTTTAAGTACATAGAAAACCTCAAAGTAAATGACGTTGATTGTGAGTCATTTACAATTGAAATAATTAATAAAACAAATAAAAATGCATTTATAACAGCATTATATAGACCACCTAATGGTAATTACAATCAATTTGAAAACCACTTAAACTACTTGCTACCAAAGCTCATAAAAAAACATGTGTATTTATTAGGTGATTTTAATTTGAATTTTTTGAATTATAAAACAGATAACCACGTCGTGCGTTTTACAAATACACTTTTGCAGTACAACCTTTTCCCTATGATTAACAAGCCAACACGCGTGACTAAAACAACTGCATCCATTATCGATAATATTATTACTAACAATTACACAAGCGTGGAATGGCAAAGTGGTATTATTAAAACAGATATAACTGACCATTTTCCAGTTTTTCTGAGTACATATTCTGCAAACCCTGAGAAACATACAAAAACAAAAACTGTATATGAAAGAAAAATAAATAATGAATCACTCGCCACGTTTCGAGACCTCTTACAAGAAGTAAACTGGG